TCTGTATGTGCATTTGGCTGCTCATCAAAATGATGATGATCTAGATACCTGCAACAGCAACTAAATAAGTATATACTTAGACTACGAAAATCAATCAAATTCTATAAAAAATGACAAATCAAAGGGTTATTTCGCATAGATAGTTTTTCTTATTTGTGCCACAGACTCGAATTGTTCACACAAAGCATTTAGTCCCAAGTAGCTACTATGTAATAATTGAGTGAAGTGCCTTTGAAGCATTATGTAACCCAGCCATAGATGGAATGTAAGGGCATCGGCTGAACAAATTGCGGGTCATAAAAAAACGTGCACCTTTTGTGGCTTTTGTGCGCTAGAAAAATGTAGAGCGTGCGTCTTTTGTGTTGTGGGCTGTGGTGCCGCTGCTGCGGTGGTGGTTCTGTGGTTCAAAGATATTTGCATAAGCTAATTGAGTTTAGCGGGAAAAGAGTGCAGGCCGGGAATGGACTGGCCCCGACGCGTCGGTCGTCTTCGGTAGTGTCTTGCTGTGGATTAGATTAATTTTTAAATAGAATTTCGAACTGATCGGTTCACACGTTACGGGCCTAACTGTGTGCGAGTGTTTGTCTTTGTGTCCATGCCCACGTCGAGTTGTGGGCGTGTGCTTGGCACGGATTTCACACAGCAATTGCAAAGGCCATTGGTTTAGCTATGACTGTCGTGAACGGCTCGGTCTCAGGCTCAGGCTCAGACTCAGGCTACGGCTATGGCTCAGACTCAGTAGCTCGGCTGGTCTGCTCTGGTTCTTGGCTGTTTTGCGTAGCATGACGAAAGATAAATTTTGTAAACAATTGTGCTAATTAAGCCAGCCCAATAAAAATCGGCTCATAGACGGCTCAACGCGGCGAAAGGCCGCAGACCTGAGACCTGAGTCTTGAGGCCTGAGGCCTCAGACCTGAGGCTATAGGCAGGCCATCGTGTAATAACTGTGTGCTGAATGCGAACACTTGAACTAAATCCGGTAGCTTAAACGAGTTAAAGGAACTTGAACGGAACTTAATCCCATAAATTTGGGAAAAATACAATTTTAATCAGGTTAATTCGTGTGTAACGCGCCTGTTGCATGGTCAGGCCGGTTGAGCAGGTAAAGGACTGTTTGCGTTCGACACAACAACAACAACAGCAACAGCGACGACGGTGAAAGGATTAGTCTGGCGGGGATTTAGCAAAACAGTTTTCATGGCCCCGATTATGAATGCGCGCCTGCGACATTTTAATTTAATCTCAGCTTACGCTCAAGACGACCGGGGAGCGAGCCCCGGATCAGGGCACGGCCTCAAGATTAGGCCACACGTTTGCTCGTATATTGCCAAATAATGTCGGCCGCATGCTGCGTAAAATAAGTTTAATTTATTGTTATGCACAACTTATTGCAAAAGTTTCACGTAAATCCGGCGATTAGACTAAACCGCTCCTACTTCGGGCTTAGGCAAATTTGTAGGTCAATTGAAATATTGCTCGAGTACGACACACTATATTGTCTGAGCTGAGCTGAGCTGAAGTGGTCGGTACTGACCTGCAACTGATTTGTGGGCTATGGATGGTAATTTCGATATTAAATTTAAATACACACTTGGTTATATAAACTTTATATTAATATTTAACATATATATTTATTGTATACAATTATATATTTAAAGAAGCATACGAATACAAGTATATAGTATTTAATTGCAACGAATTTTTCAAAATCTAGCAGCGTTTTGTTTCCTCCTCCACCAAACAAAGTTACTATTTACACTAAGCATTATATGATCGTTAACGAATCAGTATAAAAAGTGTTCTCCACTTTTTATTTTCTTATCAAAAGATAGTATTCAGTTTTAAGTAAAAATGTTTCTAAATTTGATCAATTCTCAGAGATTTTCAATAGATTTATTAATTTATTAATATATTTTTAACCGACTTCAAAAAAGGAGGAGGCTATCAATTCGTCTGTATTTTTTATGTTCATTCGACTGGGTCGATCGAGCTTGACGATTCTTTATGCACTTTGAAGTTGGTGGTTTTATTTCAATTTGGTCCGATTCTGACAATAGCATCCATGAGAAAAAAAACTACCAAATACTGCTGCAAATTCTATTCCTCAACAGGATGCTGTTACTTCAAAATCATCCTTCACAGACTACGTCACCTTAAATGACAAAAAAGCATTCATTGCACTTTTTTTTTTTTAATTTTACTTATAAATAACTAATTTTGAATAACCTTCAATGCTTTCCGACAAAAATTAGATAGTAAGTGCTTTGCGTATGGAAAATATACGCTTCCCGGCACTTGAAATCATTAAGCGCCTATGTACTTATTACTATTACAAACTCATATATGTATATGTCTATATAAACTGGTTCGAAACACTTTTCAATAATTTCTTGAACAGTCTTGCAATTGTTATAAGCCGACAAATAATCTTCAAAAAGAAAACCACTCTTCGAATTAGACTTTATTTCTCGTATGTGACTTTCTGATTTTACAAATCGGTTGGGTTTTTCGAATTCAATTCGTGTAACTTTAAGTAATTCCTATATGTGTATGTATGTAGCTGTACATAAAGGGGTCTTTATTTCATTTTCTGAATATTTTAATGTGCATTGTTGAGTCGAAGCATTCTTCCGAGAACTCTTGACTAATGCATGTTTCTTTTAAGAAACTTTATATTTCTTAATTGCTGATCCTGCACGATTGGCTAGGATGTGTAGTATGGCTGTACCAACTGAGCAAACAGTTGTTGGCCACGTGCTGAACGTCTGCCATAAGATCAAGCTATCGATCGTGTCACAAGCAGAAGGGATTAAGGAGATGAACAAACAAAAATTCGCCACATTCGACAGTTTGTGTGGATATGTCAACAAAAATAATAGCGGGGCATGGCAAGAATGAAATAAAAATCAGCGAATCAGATGATCAGACTACGATCACGAAATGGGGTTGAAAAACAAAAAAACAACAACAACAACATTTAAGATATGTGCATGCATGATTGACATTTTTGTCAGGACGCGCAAAATTTGCTTAACTCCTTGCTTTCACCTGCCGATCGTGCGCCTTTTCTATTGGAGTGTGCGTTACACGTGGCCCTTGGCACTCACACACACACATAGAGAGAGAGAGAGAGGGAGCGAAAGAGAGCAAGAGAGGATCGAGCGAAGATAAACAATTGGCTCGGGGCGCTGGCACACGTTCGTCCTTTGTGCGGTTAACGCCCGCCTGTTGTTTGTTGCGCTTCGTTGTCTTTATCGTGCTGTCGTCCTTTCTTTGTAGCTGAAAATTAGTTTGATCTTTCGTTCTTTTTTTGTTGTTGTTGTTGTCTTTTTTAAGGAATCTCTGCACTATGTGTGTGTGTTTTTTTTTGTTCCATTCTTTTGGCAACTGATTACAAGAAAATTATGCTGTCCATCTAGAGATAATCTCTTCTGCAGCCATCCTGTTGTGGGTTATGCATCATTATTTGACTTGACATTTAGTTTGTTCTTTACTTGTTCGCAGACAAAAGACGGTAGACAAGAACAGCACGGTAATTAAAGTGGCCTGAGGACCTAAACTGTCTTTCCTCTTAACTGACAGTCCCGCAGGAATGGGTTTAAGACAAACACTCAATCAATGTGCCGGTTATTTCATATTTTATATCTACGAGCAAATGAAGATATTTTAAACACAATAATTTGCAGAGACAACACACATGATGTTTTTTGTATCTGTACATATGTATATGAACGGATTTGAGGATGTGAAGTCACCTTAAAGCTGTAAATTCGTTAGAAGAAATTGAAACTTGAAATACTTTTTATATGTAGAAATTTACAGTAGGTTTCCAGTACGTTTGTAGTGTCTGGTAATTCAGTTCCTGGATATTTTGCCAGCTCCTGTAGTGCGTGGTGTCCGGCTGTGGATGTCAATTTTCCTGTGCTGTTAAGCTGTTAATGCGACAATTGCTGAAATATCACCCGTTTTCTATACCCACACAGAAGTAGGCGTGGCAGACCCCACAAAGTATATATATTCTTCATCAGTATGCCAAGACGAGTCGATTTGAAAATGTCCGCCTGCCAGAGAGCTAGAATAACTATACTTGGTATCCAGATTCTCCTAAGCCTGAGAAAGAACATGTTTTTTTTCTAATGAGCCGTTCGCTCCCCCGCTATTAGTGATTTTTCATAACTCCTGTAATTCTTCAAGTTCAAATTTGGTATGTACATTAGGCTAGTGATTATGTGTCCATATGCCAAGTTTTATAATAATAAGTCGATTATGAAAAAAGTTATAGCCATATACCAATGTTCTGCCCGCACACATGTAGATTCTGTACTGCACATAAGCACGCGTTTTAAGTTTTTTCTCTTCTGTGGGAATGGGTATTGAAGAGTTGAGCCCGCTCCATTCTAGCACTCCCTTCTTATTTTAATTACATCAGTTTATATACGTTTATTGTTTATATAAGTATATTAATACTTGTCGTTTTCATAGATATTCCTGTCTGGGAATCCATTTCAGTACTCCTCAAGCTGCTGTTAGCGCCTGTTCACAGTTCTTTTCTCGGATAAACGACTGTGCTGGCCGCCCGAAACCCAATCTTTTTGTAAATATTTGCTGTTTTATTTCGACTTAACAGCTAACGGACAGGATCATCATCTTTATTTATGACAATCAATGTCAATCTATTGAACCGACTGTTTTAACATTTTTAAGGTAGAATGTTGACGCAACCAATAATGCCAAGCAACTAATTGACAGAGATGGATGACATTTTTTTAATAAATCTAGAGTAACTGCATTTGGAATATATTATGGAAATATTTATGAAAAAAAACGAACAATAGACTATCTGCATATTGAGAGAAGCTTTTTAAATGCTTTTTATTGGGGGTGAAGGGAAGAATTTATCATAAATAATGTTGAGGAGGAAATTCTTCTACTTCATAGGCCGTTCGGGTCATGAATGTCTTATAATAATCTGATTTTTTTTAAGGATGCAACACTAACAATTTTTAAATGAATGGCATTGTGTCTATGCATTTATTATGTTTGATTTTTTTCTTTCAAAATATGCACAATTATATCGGATGCGTACGCCACTTAATTACTCCTTAATTAAGAAAAATATGTTGTTCCACAGATCTCACGCCATTTTGTTCCCGAACGCCATTTTGCGGGCAAAGCAACGAGGATTACGGCAGGCGCTACCAATTTCGCAAATAATTTTACGCACATAATACGAGGGGTTGTACAATAAGTGCGCGTCCACGGGCGTAAAGGGTTGAAATTGCCGAACGATTGGTGAGGGGTTGGTTGCATGCATGAAGCAACCCCAAACCAAGAGCCAAACAAAAACCAACAGAAAACGGCGACACGTGTCAAAAACTATATGAATTGGTTCGGCAATTTACACCGACGCAGAATGAATTAACTATTATAGCAGCAGCAGCAGAATTCTAGAGCGCCCGCAATTATGACCACGTAGAGAACGGGGGCTGCAAAGTTCAGGGCAATGACCAGGTAAAGCAAGTGGCCTCCCAATAGATTTTCATGTTGCACTCCAATTCCCTTGGTAGTCAGAAAGTAGAGGACACTAAGCAAATAGTAGACGAGTTTTACGCACACCAGCATATTCCAGAAAAGGCAAACAAAACTATATGCACTGATCCAGCGATGCTGCGAATTGGATGGAACAGTTAAAAATTCAAATTTTAATCCTTTTCCAACGCTTGAGCAATCACCTACCGGCTTAATAAGCGATATGATCATAAAGACATTGACATAACCATTTATCACTTGAAACCGTCCGTCCCAATCCGAGAAGCGGGGTCTCCAGATATTGGTTTTTGGTTCAGTGCCTGCAGTAGAACCGGAACCCATGCCGATCCATCCCAACCAATAGTCCCAGTAGCTATACGATGAAATTGAAGATTCTGCCGGAGCATTGCTATCTGCAATAGAGGCCATGAACCCGATTTGTCCTCACCACTATCTGGATTCATACTCACTCTCCATTAAGTAAACCAGTTCGCGAATAATCACAAGTACTGCCAGATTGTAGGCAACCAGCATGCAGCCCTTGAGCCTCTGTTTGCAGTGTACCTGGGCGCGAATGTGTGTGGGCGTATTGGATGTGTGTTGGCATTACATTGGTAGTTGGCCGTCAATTGGGAACTTACCGGAGCTATGAAAAGCCACTTGTGCAAGCGATTGAACATATCAGTTAGTAATATATTCTGCATATCCATGATAAGACTTGAAATTTTGCGCACGATTTTCTACAATATTTGCGCAGTTAAATAAAAAATATATGTATATGTGTAAATGTTGGATATTGAGATGCCGTTTTTAAATAAAATCACTAAGTCAAGTTGAGAAGTAAAAATAAATGTATGTAGATGGAAGAACGCAATGAAGTGGCGATGAATAAAGACGTAGCATAATGATGAATCCCGCGTGTAAATTAATTATACATTACAATAAATATTTTGTAAGCTGCTGTGTGTAGTTAGCTGAGGTTTAAGTCCTGGACTCCTTTGACACTAATTTTCAAAACTGAACTATTAAGCAGGGTTGGAGATTTCCCACTTTCTCTTTTCGTCTTTTTCTTTCCAACTTTCTATTTCTCTACCTCTCTTTCCCTCTTTCTTTTCCCCTTTCTCTTTCTACTCCTTACTATTTCTAATTTGTTCTTAAATTGAATTAATTTTCCTCCTCTACTTACTATTTGTTTAGTTTGTTAGGTCTATAATGTCTCTGACCACAAATCGCCGTGAATCGGGGCATAGCTGGCCAACTGGCAAATATAATTCCCCCAACGTGTCGGAGGCATTGATACAAGTAGACGTATTGTACAGCTTTTTCTTAGGCTTTCTTATCTTTTAAGTTTAGATTATAATGTTATATTAAGTCATATCTTCATTTTAATTTTTTTATAATAGATTTTAATAATTATAATAATATAAGTATCGACAGAACTATTGCTGACTTACTAAATAAATAAACGGGCACCCGTTTCCGAATTTGATAAAATAAAGCTACACCGAAATTGTTAATTGATCGGAAATTGCGGAAATGAGAACAGCTCGTGCTTGCAGTATTTGTGCAGATACTTATCTTGAAATTAATGAAACATATATAATGATACACAGTAGAAGTGAACAGTAGACCTAAATTGGAACAAAATACAATTAAAATAGCTAATACTATCGTACGATTCTGAAGCGTGAGTGGAAATCGAAGATCCTTGCATTTGCGTGTTACGCTCAAGACTACTTTATGAATCAAAATCAATATTGAATAAGTTTCGTTTTATTTCGATATTTGTAATGCAAAGAAGAACTCTAAATAGATCTGATTGCTTGTAACGAGAGATCCAATGTATCCGAATATATATTCATTGATGGTCCAAAATGGTTGCGAGAAGAGAGAATCTATCTGAAGATTTTTCTGTTACTGTTCTGGGCTCCTTCAAACATTTTATAAAATGTGTACTATAGTATATTTCTGTTATATCTTTTATTTGTTGATTTTTTATGTTTGTCGGTGGTGCTCCCTCATTTACACTAAAGAGGCAATGGCGTCTGAATACAAAGATATATAATTGTGTCCTACTAACCGCATCCTTCGTACTGCAGACCAGCCAGTCCGACTCACTAGAATAAGTCTAGCCTAGTGTAGTCTAGAAGTCTAGCCTCTATAGGAATGCTAACATGTTAATGATCTTTTCTCAAATTTTATTTATTTAAGACGGCCTGGTACAGTTATACCTAAGTTATATGTAGTATCTGATGAGAATGTAGTTGCAATTTAAACTTCTTTGTGTGGTTGGTTGGCCACAGTTTTTGCAAAGTTGCGGTGGCAAGGTTGTGTGAACGTTACAATGGCTTGGACAGTGTCCAGTTTTTGGTCGACTCATCATCTTTGAGTTCGCAAATTTTACAGTTATTACGAAAGACAAAGGCTAGGCTGCAGGAGGCAGCATTCTGCGGAAGTGCTGCAGTAGGATGATTAGTCCTTATCGTCATCGCATGTGTTTGGACAATGACATTTTTATTGATAAAAATTATGTACGCTTAAAATATGCGCAGGCGCACAAAGCGCACGTACAAAAGGATTCTGTTTGCTGTTAGCCAACTTGACTCAGCACAAAATATTCAAAGCGAGCCTAAAACAAAAGGCCGAAGAGAAGTAATTGTTGTCGTCTCTTTGCTGTCATAATGGCTCAATCAGGCAGGCAGCTAACCAGTGAGCGTCTTAGGTTAACGGTAACGATGCCCATGTCTGTCAGAGATCTTGTGATCAGCTGAAATGTCATCATGGGAGAGACATCGAGGACGAGCACGGCAACAACTATGGCGGCATACATTAAACGGACGTTCAACGTGTTTTCTTAACGGCACCAATGCATTTGTGAATGTGTGTACATATGTATATATATACATGTACATATGTATGTGTCTAACGGTAACTACCGTTGACCAGTTCACTTTGATTTGCGACCGACAAAGAAGGGTTTACACACACATCCGCTTGTACAGAACATCCTGGGAAAGCGAACGCTAGGCAAAAAAAGTTCGGGTTTTTTTCTATCATTCTGACTTGTCAGTCATTTTTTGTTTATGAACAGTTCACAAATTGCATTGTTATTATAATTTGTTCAAATTATGAAATGTTTTTATTATATTAAATCATTTAGACACAAAAAATTCAATAGAAACAAATTAATAAGAAGAAATTATAGGTATAAAAATGTAATTATTTTTAGTGGTTCAACTGGATTTTTGACTTTTAACCAAATTACCACAAGATTACCAGAAAAGTATAATACTTGTATTACGGGGTTTTGTTATTGTCTGCAAGGGAGCAGCAAAAATATGGACCTTTATATAAGCTGTTTCATAACTTGCTAATGAATCCTATATTTGTTTCCGGAATGCGTGCAGCTGAAAGGTAACAAAAACATTTTCAAAAAAAAACCACACAATTTTCTAACTAATTTTGCCACATTTCCAAATTGAGTCGTAGCCAGGTTGACAACTAAATAGGCGTGGCAGCGCAACGCCCAATTTCTAGCAATGATTATTTGGCATAAAATTTGGCAATTCTCTTAAAAAGTAACGACTACCTCAAACGGATTTGCTTGCTAAAGCGTAAAAATGCAGTTAAATCCTTTTTACTAGGTAGCCCAACACGGGGCAAAAACACAAGGGACAGACACACGCACACACACACATAACATGCATATGTACGCTTGTTGACTTAAGATTACGACAAAGACGTCGAGGACAAGGATGAGACTGCAACCCCATGGGTCACTTGTTGCAAGCGGCTACTTAAGACTAAGCCGGCATAAGCTGCATAATTTTCCATAAAAAAATAATAACAACAATATGATTCGAATGCATATATGTATATGCGCACAATATTTGAATGTTTATGCTCAACTTTTTGGCACATACCCACACATACATAACAATATACAAAAGATAACTACTGCGACTTCTTGATAACATGCGCCAGATCGTAGACACCACGCACCGCCTTCAGCTTTACTCCGGGCACATCCTGCAATCGCCCCACACGACACAGAACAATATTGTGCTCCTGCAGATTGTGACCAATGCCTGGTATATAGGCGACCATTTCTTTGCCAGTGGACAGGCGTACCAGCACACATTTCCGATTTGCCGAATTGGGCTTCTTTGGCTTCTTGATCAGCGTCTTGAGAACCACACCCTTGGCAAAGGGTTTGCCATCAAGCGGTTGACGTGGTGGACGTTTTTTTATGTGAGGTCCTGTCCGATGCATCCGCTGCAATGAGGCCATTTCCCGAACGGCGCTGAAGCCAGTTTGGAGAGCTGTAAGAGTAAAAACATAGGCTGTATTAGTCGCTCTGAACACAACTGTACTAATTAAAAACATAGGATGTCAGCGAGGCGGCTTAAAAATATTGAAAAGCAACTGCGCACATTACACACGTACACATACACGCGCATGCAGAAGGGTCAGCTAGTCAGTTGGCCAGTTGAATAAAATAAGAGACAAAGCCTTTTGTTGTGGCTAATCTCTGTGAAAATCGAAAATAATTGTTTGGCTGTTGGTGTGCGTTTTTTTTCCATTTCTGATTTGGGTTTCGTTTTGTGTGCCTTGCAAAATATGACAATGTGGTCGGGAGTCCTCGCTAATAATTGCAGCCAAATGACGTGCATGCGCAAATGTCCAGTCAGGGAGCATGGGACAATGGAATTCTAACTGTGGTTCTGGGTCAGATGTACTCAAGCCTTTTGATGATGGAAAGAGTGTGCAAAATTTCTCTAACAAAGGAGTTTCGGGGTGTTGGGAAATGAGCGACAGTTGCTGTGTACAGAACTGTAAGTGTACTTTCAATTTAAAAGAACGAAATGCCTATGGTGGAATGATACTTAGTTTGAGAAACTATAGATGGGCAGGTCCAGTTTATAGAATTAGGCGGCATACTAATGCATGTCAAAAGAGAATCATGAGGTCTTACTCTATGGGTATCACAAATTTGGAACCATTTGTATTAATTGTTTACCTCACATATAGTACTGAAGTTGGAAAAAAAAAAAAAAAAAAAAACGGTGATCTCCAAACAAAAGAGCACAAAATCGACTCTATTGTTGAATGCAGCGGCTAATCCACACCTGTGTGTGTGTGTCATGCAAATTCTCATTGTTAACGCGTGGGCCCTCCCAGCTTTGCTATTTTGCCATTTGACAGGATATTAGATGCACAATTTTTAATTAAAAACGGGACAAGCCACTGCGGCATGAGAAAATTCTAATGAAAATATTCACAGGCGGAGGGGAGGCCAGGAAATTGAAGCGAGTCGTAAGCAAGCCGGCCACGCGCTCACTCGGTATTGAAAGAGTTGAGTAGAGTCGTGTATCAAAAACAAATGCATAATACAAATCATCGTAGGCATAGGGACGACTAGACAAATATGTATGTATGTACATATACAAACTGCAGCGGCTTGGGCTTGGAAAATGCGCACTGTCATCAGTTGGGAAAAGAATCACGGATGTGGATGCGAGAACAAATAATAGAAGGCGTGCGTGTAAAGAAAGATAAGTCAGTTTTTGGCTGCAGCGCTCATAGAGAGCTAAAATGAAGTTTCCAAGTTTGTTCAGTTCGTGTACCATATAGGCTTACCTTGTGCCGTCAATTGTTTCGTAATGCTGAATGTTTGCCGCAGGAAATTCATGTTGATTTCAGTGAGAGTCTGAGTCCAGTTTCAAATAAATTTGTATATAAAGCTAATATTTTATTGAACAGCACCAAATAATATTGCAATCAAGTTAAAATAAGTGCTTAATTGCAAAAAATAGACTTCGCCAATATGAAATTATTGGCGTGCGCTTGCGGCCTCTGGTGTTGTATGATGGCAAACAGCTGTAAAACGAGGTGCTGCCACTTAGGTACTTAAATAATACGATAGGTTGTTATGCTTATCGATAAGTTTAAAATGGTTTATTTAAAACAAAATTGAAAATCTTATTGCACTAATTAAAACTCTATTTAAATATCATGCAGAAGTTTTAGTAATTTCTAAAGTTGAGGGAGTTGGCGTCGAAACCATTGTACGTGTGGATAACATGTTGGCGGTTACTCCACTGAATAATTTAGGGCGCTTCGGCAACGTAGCTGCACGGAGATATGGATTGTCAATATTGGGGTTTTCTAATATAGCTTTATTTGTCGTCGAATTGGGCTTAATCTCAAGTTCGGGCTTCTCTTCCTTTGATTTGTCCGCATCAAGGTCATCGTTTTCGCTGTCACCATCTTCGCCATCATCTAAAAATACATTTTATTTTAGAAGCAATGTTTAGAGCATGTGGCAGTCGCAACAGCAGCTAATCATACCTTTCGTTGTCACATCCTCGGTTCGATTCGCCACCAAGTAATGATACTCCAATTCTTCAAAGTCGAACACCTGATCGGTTGGATTTAAGGCAGCGACAAATGGTGGGAAGGCGGGCTTACACGCAATTACTGGAAATTATGACTTTGATTAGAAGCTGCAAATCCTTACACAAGTAAACACTCACGTGGAAACATATTGTCTTCTGTGGGAAAGAGGTTATTCGTGTCGATGGTCTTGCACAAAAACTTCGTCAGCGCTTTCTCGATGTCGCGTTTCTGGCAGGCGGCCTTCTCCCTAATGGCCTCATATTCAGTTACTGGCTGTTTGTGTGTCGGTGTCCGTATATAGGCATGTGGATCGGGCATGGGAGGAAAGTAGCCGGGAACATATGGCGGATGCACTGCTTTGCTACCCGCCTGCAACAAATTCAATTGCCGCTGTTGTGTTTGTTGTGGTGGCAGTGGTATTGGGACATGGGTTTCTCGTCTTATGTACGTATCCAGGGTGGTTACGTTAAGGCCCATGCTGATGAGCGCCAAGCCGACATCGCCTACGGTGGGAATTGTTCGGCCACTTAGCTCGCAAAAGTGGTGCGACGAATTGCCGATTTCCACAAACACTAAAATGCAAGAATAGAAGTATATGCCACGAAATCAAAGCCGTGTGCGGTGTTACTTACATGCCTGCAACATTTGAGTGAGAGTCTCCAGGCACTGGTGGCTAGCTAACACGGCTCCCTTATCTATTAACAGCTGTGAAATGGCCTTACTTAACAGCCGCCTGTAAGCGTCAATGTTGGGCACAACGATCGCCTCAACTTTTTCCATTTTTTTTGTTCCTATTTCTTCAACAACCAAAACAAACAATGACACTTCTGGAGTAGCAATATTGAGATGGGAGAATCTCAATTGAGCGATCTGGCAGCGCCCCTGTCATAACCAACATAGCATCGATTCCAAACTAATTACAGAAGTATCGTTAATCGCATGTACATCACAATAGCCAAGCAAACTTCTGTTGGCAGTAAATTATTCACAGCTGACGGTTGGTGCTGGCTGTGGTGCGCGTTTAACATAATTTTTTTTCTATTGTTTGCAGAACGAAAATCGTATATTTGTGTGTGAAAAGTGGCAAAACAAATAAAAAGCGTAGTGTTATGATTAATTTGCATTCATTCTCCGTCTTACTGATGTAAACTGGGACGTTCATATGTACCCAATTGCTTGGACTCAAATAGCACGGCAGAGTGTTTGTGTTGCCGATCTCTCCTCTTTGCGTCACACAGTTTTTCTTCGTTTCTTACAAGCTTCAAGCACAAAAAGAAATTCGCTGCCGAGACAGTACTTAATAAAAAAAGAACCACAAGGAATAGAAATAACAACCGCAGTAGCAAATGGTAATTACATATGTACATTCATGCATGTTTGTTTCTGGTATGCTTAGTAAATATGTATGCATGTTTATATTTGTGAGTGTATGTGTAACGCGGCTTTCTGATGCTGTATGGCTCATACTACACACATCCATATATATACATATGTATGTATCAAAGACCCAGCAACAACTATACGAACTTGCTGCCAGCCAGCCTTTCATTTTTTTTAAGTGGCTTGCAATTTACACTCTTAATTTGATTTATTTTCGTTCGACGATTGCGCCACTACATCGCATTGACATGTACGCACACACGCACAGCAACGTACAAATCAACAAATTCTTTTCTATTTCGAAATGCAACCTCCGCCCGCCTAGCTACAAATGTTTGCTTGTATGTATGTATGTATGTTTGGACGAATGTACATGGGAGTCCGAGTGAGTGAGTAAGCGGGAGCCACTTGGCTGCACTCTGCAGAAATACTGGTAGGGGACTGACTTCTTGTGGGGAACTGTTGCTGACCCTGCCTTACTAACACCTTGCATCTAAATGTGTACGTGAGGGAACTAGTGGTACCTATTCGGTAGTTGATGAATAGCCAGTCCCTTGTTCTAAAGGGCAGTGTCAGCTGCTGTTGATGAGAATGCGAGGTCTCTTCACAGCAGTGTCTTTATAATCGCGCACGTACTGCAGTTTCTTTGTTCTTATTATGCGCGCGCCAAAGTGTGGAAGGCCAATTGACAGACACTCTCCATACAGATGCATACAGACATATTTATTTACTATACTATATTTAACATGGACTCCGGCCTCTCTTGGCCTTTAGTTCGTTTGATTTGAGATTCAATTCAAAAGTGTGCCGGTGACTCAATCGGGCCTTCGGCAACTTTTGCAAATTCCCATCTCGTATTATTATTGTTTACTTTTGCCTTTTTTTTGCGTATGTATAGTAGTATATGTATGTATGTACATATGTATGTTAAATTATCGTTGCCTTGGGTTTTAACGTTTGGTTGTTATCAGAGGTGGGCACACATGCACCTGTATCCCAAACACATGCATATATATATATGTTTGTACATACACATGCTTGTATGTATATATTTACATACACGTATAAATTCATTCATTCTTTTCAATGCAAATTGCATGTTGCTAGAGCAGCTCTAAACACACGCAATAAAATATTTGAGGCGCCAGATCTTGAACTGTTTGCGGGTCATTGGCAACTAACACACAAACATAAAAATTTATGCAAATAAATACATGCATCTATGTACATATATATGTCTGCATACATACATATATCTATATGTACGTGACATTCGGTAGCCCGTTGTCTAGGGTTCAGGTCATTGGCTTGGCTTTCATTAAAAGCGATTCGTGCTTTGGGTTCTGTGCGCGCTGAGTGTCATCGCATGGTTCGTACTCGTACCCAGCATAAAGCAACAAGCACTTATGTTCATTGTTTTGATTTTATGTTTATCTCCCTTCCCAGTGCCCATTAACCGTCGAAAGGGGGCATATTAGCAATGTGTGGTTGGGGGAGGCAGAATATACGAGTACATGCCTGTATATAAATACCCATGTACTTATGTACGTATAGACCAAGAATTCGGCACACTTGTTGAGAAATCAGAATGTAAAAAGTACTGGAATTATACATATGTAGCTGCCATTGAAATGATGATGTGATGTGAAGAAAATTCCGAAATTCGCAGTTTAACGAGGTTATGTATGAAACGCAACCGCCATATTAACCGAGGGCTGTCTGTTCTCAATTCTAGGAATATTCCCCCTCTATTTCTTTATGCCATACATTTTGTATGCTTGTATTTCACGTTACAATTATGAGTAATTAATAAACGATTACAAACAAGAATACATTACACAGGGAGCGCACTCACCAGGGACTACTGGTCATCACTAATCAGTCCCTGCTAAATGGACTAATCATGATCACCAAATTCAGATTTAAGATGATCACTTAAAATGTATCATAAAAATAGAGTGATACATTTATCACTGTTGAATTTTTGAATTTATTATAAATGAATTTAATGACAACTTGATCAAAGTTGAAACTGAAAACACTATTCTCTGTACTGATCTTACAAGATCCAGGTATATTTAAAAAATATCGGCCATTTAACAAACAAAAAAATGTACGAAGTGATAATTAGAAGCCAATACAGGAACATTTTAGAATGCGTCGGAAAATTTTCATTCATCATTGATAGCTGTTGCTGAAACATTTAAATTTTTTTATTTTGCTATAACTAATCAAATCATCTTGCCTTTCGAATTTTATTTTTCGTTAACGCCAGCTGTTTTTGTACGCCGTGACTTACACAAAAGCATCAGTGCATTCAGCAGAATATATCAGTGATCAATGATCAGAAATTGTAGTGATCAGTAATCAGTTGTTCCTGGTGAATAATGATTCATTGCGAATAGCCCAAACAGCACCAATATCAATTGCCAATCTGGTTCCAGCAGCGATAAAACAATAAACGAACGGCGCAGCAAAACGAAGGCAGTGTGAGCACTGAAATCCGATGCCCACGATATGAATAAGGCCAGCAAACATATACAAAGTGGAGCAATGGGCCTCACTGGTGGCAATTCATCGGCGGCGGCAATATTATTGGGCTCACCCACCGCAGCAGTGGGGGGCAACCAGCCTGTGACGGCAAACGCAACAAGCCCCAAGAATGTTATTAATTCCATAATGGACTTTTTGCCAGACAATCGACCTATAACATCGCTACAAATTGTAGAAGACTTTGAGCGGTAAGCGAACACTTTCTAAATACTCGTCTCTAGTTTTCCTACGTACTAAATACATATGTATGTATGTGTATATGTGTCTTGATAGCTGCCCTAAAAACTTTAATGCCATACATCGGACATATGATCAAGATGCTGATGCAGATCTCTGGCGGGACTACACCCTACTCTTCGGTCGTCAAACCACACGCTATTTATGTTTGTCCAAATCCGAGGGCTTGCCTGAGTATGTTGTGGAGACGCTTAAGTGAGTGAATCTTACATTTCTGATTTCATGTTAAGCGTTGGCTATAACGTTTCGATATTCGTTTCTCTGCGCAGAGTGGTAGCTGAGAAAATACAACCGCCCAAGGAGTTCTCGCTGCTCTCGCGAACTGCGGACACTGAACAGAAAGCCTGGCGCAAACGTCAGATCGCCTATAAACTGTCGAAGCGCGGCACCGTCACCCATGCCGTCACTGACATAATTGTCTGCTCCAAGCTGAAAACTGCACCGAACGGCTTCAAGCTTGCCGGTGATATCAATGGAGTGTTAATCTGCTATAAGACGGGTGCCATACCAGTGCGTCAGCCACCACCCGTCCCATTGTGGGCCCCTCTGCCCTCACAAAAGACCGTTTGCGAAGCGGAACAAGCATTGAATCGTTTGAATTTGCACGGCCAAAGGGCGTCACGCGGACCGGTAAGATAAAGTTAATACACATATGGATTGCATCATGCAAATAATCCATTGAATTACGAATTTTTAGCTGCCACAACCACCAACATCGGAGCATCACGACTATGAGGAGATTCAGGCGAACTATCAAATCAATTCACCACAGCGACCCGCTCCCCCACGTCCGTCAACCATAGGACGTGGAGGCTACGGAGTCGGCACACTCGGCACCTACACCGAACTGGAGGGCGTGCCATTTGCCATAAACGGCATGCTGCAGCGCAACCAGCAAGTGACTGAAGTAAGTGCTCAGCAAACAACCAGCTGCCAGGGTACTTATAAATAATTCATTTTTTATATACATATGTTTGTAGTAGTTAGCTGATAGATATGCCTCGTTACATGCAATTCAATTTCATTTTACTGTTCAAAATTAAATGAATTTGTGCAGGGAACAGTAAAATATTTGCTACAGGTAGATTCAAACATTAAAGACCTTAAACCGCGTAAATATTTAACTGACTAACCGATGAATTTAAAGCTCGAAAGTCTATTTTACAAATTAATAGAGAGGTTGGAGAGTGAAACTAAATTTATTCTTTCTCCAGTTGGATACAATATGCTAACTTCTATTAGTTATGAATTTTAAAGTATTTACGTATGCTTTCTCTTCCTCCTAGTTGCCCACACTGCCAGAATTGTCAACATTACTGAAAACTTTGGACTATGACTTTCAACTGGAACGTCAGATCTTGTGCACCATGAAATCATCTGCCTCGAAGAATCCGTTTTTCAAGTAGCGCTACAGTATCATTAATTATCAAGTGCCCCCGAAACATGCAAATCTGTTTTGAAATTTCGAAAATTTCAACATTGAGCAATGAAAAATACTAATGTGTTAATTAGCATAAACTAAACTATTAATATATAAACATATATATACATAGCCATATGTATTATTACTTTAAGATAAGTTGAAAACGCTGTCGGTTCTATTCGCCTTAATATTACTGGTTGAACAGCAACCGGCAGCATATATCTTCGATATATATATATATATCCATATACATACATACATCATCTAGGATTTGTTTGGATTCAATATGCTCTGTTCTTAAGACCTCAGCCCAAATGTGTGTAATAATTCCTGTGCCTTCAATGTGTATCTAATTTCACGTACCATATGTGTTTATTTCATTTTATTTCTCTGTAATGTGTAATCGTTATTTATGTGCAAGTCTAGTGCCCGTCGTAGCAGCGTAATCTCATTGCATTGGGCTCTCATGTAAGTGGCGATAGTGCACAGTATTGATTATCATAAAGCATTGTGATCGAGAAGAAATGTTTGTCATTAATTTTTAAAAACAAATCGTCGAACTCAATTATTTTTGTTGTGCATATTCAACACAAATATATATACAAACCTGCGTACATACCTACATTTAAAAGATGCTTGCCTATGTCTACAAAAAACAAATTTAGCGTTAATCATAAACAAATTCAATATTTATAAGCCATATAGCATAATGTTAAAGTTGAACAAGTCTAGAAAGCGACATTGTGTAAAAGTATCGCGAGCAAATATACATACATACATATATAAACACAGACACGAAAGCATTCACTTATACACGTACATATACACCTAAATATAGGCCACTTAGCACAGCAAACCAGTTTATATATTAGTTATCACTCGAGACATGTAGACTGTAAACAAACTAGCGGCAAGTTCTTGTGAAACAAATCATAGATTCTTCCCATTTTAAACAAAAACGAAAATGCAATTGAAAATGACGACAAATATTGCGCGGCAGTTCAAATACATTTATGTATGTATTAATTAAATATATGCAAGAATAAAAATTATATACATATACAGTAATCTCTGAAAACGTCTTCTTTTATGAGCCAATTGTAAACATATCATGGGAATAGAAGATTATAGCGAATCGGCGGTAAAGGGCCATGAACAATTTTGGTGATGGGCTCAACAGCCATAACTTGACCATGGAAAGTATTTTGGCACACGCGCTAAAAAATTTTAAATCACTTCAGTTGTATATGCTCTGCTTTAAGATTTCACCTTCGTTTTGGTTACGTGACAAACTGGGTCAGAGAAACAGCAATATAACAATATTTTTTAGGGTTTATGTTGACTTTTTCATTTAGAGGACTGAACTTTTTTTTACAGTGGATTTCATAATTGGAACACACCTGAATTTAACAACAAAGATACACAGGGTGCTAATAGTCTATAAAATGATGTTCTTAAATAGTTTGTTTAATCAATTCAACGATAAAAAGAAGGTGAATCATCTTTGAATGTTTAAAGCTGGCAGGGCGCAATCGTTGTTAGAGTCTTACGTTATTGGGTTTTTATTTGAATCACGTCAGCAGCTATATTTCATTGTTTATATAGATAAAGAACTATTTATTATAAATAGGTCTACTGTTCAGGAAAAGATTTCACAGCAACTGTTCCACAATATTCAATAATGAAGTATTTTGTTTTTGTTTGAGACTAATAATAATTATTTAAAGAAATATCTGAAAATCAATTTCGGATTTTTTCCATTTTTTGTGTGTAGCGATTGTTAAAAATCATTCGCATCCACCCCGTGCAGTCGGTATCCATAAAGAAATGTTAATAAACAATGGGGGGTGTTTTGTGTATGTGCATATTTTAATTGTAAGTATAAGTATTATAATAAGGAAAAAAATATATATCGCTATATGAATAATATGTACAATACTATAATGTATACACAGTATAAGTGGATGAGTGTGTTGGGGCACACGTCAGTGGAGCTCATCGGGTTCAGAATATATTATGAAATAGTAAATCCGGTTGTGATAGCGTCTTCTTCAAGTTGCGCATGCTGAGGCGGCTTTGGCGGCGATCGGCCGTGCATCTGTTGAGTGAAGTTGGGGGGGTTTTGGGTGTAAAGTTCTTAGGACGACAACATACAAATAACAAGAAGCATGGCTAGAAGACAATCGACGACAATTGGGGACGAAGGCATGTATCAGGCGGTAGCGGCTTAGGAACCAACACCAGGCATTGTGGGCAACCACTTACTCGAATATGCGACTCTGATACTCGATCATCAGTCGGACGCAGTCGGCCAGTGTTTCACCCTCCCGGAGCAGTTGCTGTATATCCTGCATATGAACGCCCTGTGGAACGGTGTGAAAAATTGACGGCGTGACGGATATCGACAGGGTTTCGGCGCTAATCTGCTGGAGTGGCACTTTGGTCAGACTGTAATGGAAGGAAATGGGTTATGATTGGAGGAAATGGGGATCCCAAAAACTAAAATAGCTTACCGATTGAAGTGCGCAAAAATATAGTCCATGGTGTCGCGATTGATCTCTGGTAGCGAACGTATCAGTCTTTTTAGTGTGTTCAGCTTATCGGAAAGGTCAGTAAGTACTGGAGAAGGGAGAAGGAGAGAGAGAGAGAGAGGGAAATAGGAGAGAAAATAGAGTTGTATCAATATGGCGTTCTAATACCCTGTTCACCGAGAAGTTATAATAATTAAATAAATGAAATAGTTATTATAATAATCATGCCTTTCTTTTTGAATAAGTACTTGTAATGGTTTTGAAATGTCGCTATACCATTATTTATATAGTATGTAAAAGTAAATGTAGAACAGACAAGGCAATGGAAATATTTTTCAAGAAGTAGCCCATAAGTTAAACAGGGATCTACTAATGCTTCATTATCGGAGAAGAATTCTTAAGACAAATTCTAATAGTTCTGATAGTTGAAATGTTTCTCTGCTGCCACATTAAGAATTTAAGTTGCTAACACTATCTAAAAACGTTTCTTAAGAATTAGAGGTAATTGGCAAAGAAATTCAGTTCGATTGCGTATTTTATCACGAGTCTTTTACTCGTATCTATAGGGTTCTCATTTCCAATGCTTTCCGTCCAGTTTGTCGGCGTTTTAACTTAACAATTTTGGCGGTTGGGCCAGAAAACGTTATCAGTTGTTTTTCTCAATCTAAGTTATAGCCGGACACGGATCTATGATTGGTGACATTAACAGTCAACGCATTATATTAGCAATCGTATATCTTGAGACAAAGAAAACCATATAGAAAAAGGTAAGAATAATGTCCTATCTGACAGACCTATATTGTTTATGGTTTTAATGAAAATGTAATGCGATCTTCATCTCACTTAAAGGATGTCTTTTCTAAGACGTATAGTATTATAATGCATAAGATACTCACACCACTGATGCGGTGTGCCTATAAACGTCTTGGCCTCATTTACGCTCACCAAAGGGCTCTTGATTTCGCGAAGGAAGAGCTTCAGGACGCCCGTTAGTGTGTGTATGTCCACGTTCCGCTGCTGCAAGGCCTCGTAGTCGTTGGCATCGATGCTGAATCGCAGTGTTTGGATTTTGTTGTAGTCTCCACACTGCCTGTAGATGCCCTCGATTGGCTGCGGCGAGCGTCGGTATTTCTCCTCGATGAGGTCACAGCAATCGACAACAATGCGCGGCACCGTGCGATGGTGATCGTGTTTCAGCACCTGCTCCAGTTCGGTGTCGAAGCACGGTTCGTCGAAGAAGATGCGCTGTTCGCGCAGCGTTTCCACGCTGGGTCGACTCTTCCACCAGTTGGACAAATTCATCCAGGCGACTAGGCGTGAAGGACGCATCGGTGTGGTGGCCGAACGTTTTCCGCTTCGTTTCTCCTGCTGTAATTCGGCGATCGAGCGGCTCAGTTCGGCCAACTTGGACTCCAGCTCCTGGCTGTAGCTGGCCTGTGCCTGCAAATCCTGTTCCAGGGTATGCAAACGCTGTTTCAGATTGGACCAACGCTTCGTGCAATTGGCACAGCATTCACGTGAGTTGTTTCCACCACCGGTGCTTCGGCCCGGACTACCCGACGATGAGTTCGAGGACTTATCCAGGCTGGTATTGGACACCAGCATCGCTGTGGCCGTCGTTTCGTCCAGCAGCAGTCTCGTCAAGTCACGTGTGCTGCTGCTTTTCAGCAGCGTGAGTTTGTTGGGACGTGAGCGCAGCTCACGCAAGAGTACAACAGCCTCGGGGCGACCGGCGGCATCCAAGGTCTGATTGGAACCGCCGCTGGCATTCCTCTCAAGCCGCACCAGCGTGCTGTGCGACCTAGAGTATTGGCCGACAGCTGACGAGGGCGTGGAGCGATCACGAAAACAGTTCATTATTGTCTTCGGTTGCTGGCGTCGCTCGTGCGCTATGTAGCCGGCAGCCCCGATTATTATGTGCGCCGAGTCCGGAGTGCCAGGCGTTACTGGCAAGTTCGATGTCGCCGGCATGTCGCCTTCGCGTTTATCGAGTGCTTTGGGAGCCCGGCTTGCTGTTGCAGTCAAGCTTATCAATATTCTGTGGTGGTTGTTGCTGCTGCTGCTGCTGCTGATGTTGTTGTTATTGTTGTAATTGTAATGCATGTGTGCAGCTGACCAGGCACTCGCCCGTGATGCCTGGCCGCCCTCTTATCGCCACCAAGTGGTGCTAGTGTCTAAAATCTAGCTTCAATTTATCAATACGTGTGTGCCTCAAGTCTTCGATGGCAATAATTACAATTGCTATTGAAATGTCGGTGTGCGTGTGTCTGCGGTTGGAGCCTAAAGAAGGGGAATCGGAAATACTCAATATTCAGACTGATTGGCGTTCCCTTCACACAAAGAACCACATACGCTTTCAGATTGCAGCTTCGCTATTAAAATAAAAATACCCGGTGACGCAGTGCGCGCTCATGGATTAATTCCCAGGCTGCTCGGATTTCGGTTGGGGTTTCAATTTCAGTTTCCACTTCGACTGACGATACACACTGACTGGCTGGGCAGCATTTGCCAACATGTATTGAACGTCGATACCCTGTGGCGAAGCGGATGAGAGGGCATATTGAATTTTAGCGACTATTTGTGACCAGAATGCCCCAAAAAAGTAAACACTTTCAAACTTATTGAAGAAGGACACAAGGAATCAAGTCGTGCAACCATATATACAATTTTTAATTTTCAGACCGTGTAAAAACAGAATTAGGTGTAATTCATTGACATTGACATTCACAGTACAACAATGCTGGAAGACAACTACAAAAATAGTTTGTTATGAACAAATGGCCACAGAATTTGTTGATATAATGCTGATCCGAATAAAGCTTCTAATTAAATGAAATAATTTTCAATGGTTTTTATATAATTCATTACTTTTGTAATTCAATGATGTAATAAAAGTATAACTGAATGAAAAATAACTAAGTTAAGAAACTTTTGGGCTATATCGTATTCAAGGCTCTTAAAAATTGATATATTATTTTTGTAACAACGAGAAACTATTTTAAATTGTTTCATATGTGTGAAAAAAAATAAAGGTACAAAGCAAATTAATTTAATTATTTTCAAGTCGAATTCTCTTATGGGAAGCTTATCTCAAATTGTTTATAAAACCTTCAAGTTGTTAGAGGAGGGTATCTCGTAGTTGAGCAACTTGGTTTTTTAGTTCTGTGTTTTATCAAAATATGCAGCGCGACTTTTGCCAGTGATAAGATAAGAGGTCCGCCTGAATGCCTGAATGGAAACACTAAATAAAAACTCTCAACGCCTAAAATTAGCGATAATGTGTTAGCTAACGTGATGACTGGGACACCAGCCAAGTCGCAGGGCGCATGAGCCGGAACGGCTGCGACGCGATCGGTGGCGCATTATTCGCGCTATCGCATTATTTACACTAGCAGCGACTAATGGGATGGTTAAGGTGTTGTTGATGGTTTTGCACATACAGTACATACATACATACATACATAATATATACATACATAACACTATAAATGTACGTGTACATACTTGTGTAGGTCTTCCTGCCACGTTGTGATTTCGAACCAGTTTATAATTCAGTACACCTAATTCTGTTTTTACACGGCAGATTAGTTCCAGAAAAAGTCGTGTAAAAGAAGACATTGATCATACATACATACATATGTTATTTTGAATAAAGTCGTGCAACCATATATATTTTTAATTTTCAAACCGTGTAAAAACAGAAGACAACTGTAATTCATTGACTAATATGATTCTTTGAGTTTGACCAACAATAAATGGGAGTAGAACGTCATCGATTGAATGGTTAAATAATTTCGTTTTAATTAAAACAAAATCAAATTTGTTTGCTGTTAGCTACTATTTATTGCTCATGGTCCGTAATACTTAGGATATGATAACCAAGCTGGAATTGATAAACTTTAGTGGAAAAGAACAAACAGGTTTCGGAAATACAAATCCTAGTTAGTCCCACAGCTAGAACCTCCTTAAATTGGCATCCGTTTGTAATTGTGTGACAAGATATTTCCTATATATTTTTGCTATAAAATCAAGTGTGAATGGCGTGAATAGTTTGATAATTATTTACAAGTATATTTATTTAATTAGCAAGCTCTGTTTTAATTGTTATTTTAGCACGATTGGCGCAGGTTTGTTCACTCCAAAAGTTTTTGGTTTAAATTTTTTTCCTTTCCTTTCCTTTCCTTTCCTTTCCTTTCCTTTCCTTTTTTTTACTATGATATTATATTCTACATATTCTATTCTGATATTATATTCTATATTGATATTCAACATCAATGATAATATGATGATTAACTATATGTTGTGACCCATAAAATCCCAGGTTTTTTGTTAAGTTTTTACCTCAAAATACATACAAATTAAAATTTGAGATTGATTTCAAAACTGCTATTTCCGGCTAAAAGAAAGGCTAGGACGATCTTTGGTTTCAGCCGCAATTTACCTTTTGCGTGCCCTGATTACCGATCGCCACGCGAATATAATCGTGTTTCATAAGCAATGGGAATTTTTGCTCTTTCGAATAAACCAAAATCTACTTCAATCCTGTTCTACCAAAATACTTATTCGCTTTTGTGTTGGTGGGTAGGAAATCAGCGTCCATTTGGTGCACAAGTTGCGAATAATGTGAAGCTGATGCGCTAATGCTTAGTGATGAAAAAAAGGAAGTATTGATTCCATGATGTACTGATGTACTAACTATATGTATGTGTTTTCTGGACTCGGCCTTTTAGGTTTCAGTCTGTCTACGTCTAATATTCTAATAAAAGAAAAAATAAGTAACTGCAACGATTTTTCATTTGCATAACAAATTCAATTAAATCTCATTTTATTTCAGTTTTGTTTGATTTTTTTTGTTTTTTCTTTACAATTTATTAAGCTAAAGTGTGAAAAAATTTCGCTTTTAATTTATATATTTTTTTGTTTTGGTTTTTTACATTACAATATCTTTTGTTGTCTTTTTGTTTTTAAATTTGTTATATTATATTGGTTTTTTTAAAATTATACATTTATATAAATTATGCAACTTGTTGAGAACTAAAGAAGCGTAATTATTTATATTTAATGGAAATAAAAATTGTTTTGTTTTTTATTTAGGTGATGCTTGGGCTTCTTCTCCATTTATTAATATTAAATTTGTATGTTCAGTTTTTGCTTTGCTGTTCGTATTAATTAATTAATTTTTTTTTACAATTAGACATTATTGTGCAGTTTGCGTTTTTACTTTTTGGGTATGTTGTTTTGTTTGCTTGTTTTTTTTTTAATTGAATTGAATAAAGTATTTTTTTTTTGTTTGCGTAATAAACTAATTCAGGCGTTTTGTATCTTTTTTTGTTGTATTTTTAAATACATTTTGTTTGTATTTTTATTTTATATATATCTAACTTTATTTATATATATATGTATATATATATTTATATATATATATATATATATATATATATATATATATATATATATATATATATATATATATATATATATATATATTTATATAAAAACAAGTTTTGTCTGTGTTGCTGTCTGTGTATTATTGTTTTGTGTTTTTCCTTTTTTATTAGGTATTTGGTTTTGTTATTCGTTTTAATAAAAATTAATACATACAAAATTTTGTTGACGCACTGCATATATATATATATATATATATATATATATATATATATATATATATATATATATCTATATATATATATATCTATATATATATATATATATATATATATATATATATATATATTTATTTATTTATTCTTTATTTTCTACTTTGCTTTATATTATATAAAAACTGGCGCACAAACTTAATAATTTCGTAGCTTTTTAAAAAAATCGACAACAATAGATTTTTGTGTTTGCATAAACATTTAGATGTATGACAGCTTCTGTTTATAAGAATATCGCTAATAGAAGTTATGCCCATTTAAAGATCTTAAGGGAACCAAATAATAGTAATATCGAAAACGAAATGGACTGACCTACATATACACAAGTCGTATGTGTGTGTCTGAGTATGTGATGTATTCGGTTGTGTTCTGTTATGGTTCGGTGTGGTGTGGTCTGTTGAGGTGTCTGTTTGTCAAGCAAATGCACAAAGTGTCTTACTACACATACTGTTTTGTTAAATACTGTTAATAAATATACTCATAATATTATATATATATATAACTTTATATATATACAGTCAATTTGTTATAAGTAGAAAAGTGGCGGGTGTCATACTTTTAGCTCTGCTGCTTACTTCGTCACACAATTGTAGTGTACATACATATATTGTTTTTATTTGGTTTGTACAGTCATCTGAACCACTAATAATTTGTAGCCGGGGAAGTTGCTATCAAATAGAGTTGCTCAAAAACTGCGCTCTATGCTGATGTAGGAGGAGAGTGGTAGTTGAAGGATGTCTGCTGGGGTCATGTGGTGTTGCATAGGTTGCACCAAACAGGTAACAGCTGCCAAGAAAAAAAGCTAATGGAGTCGGGGTCATCAATCTATTGTGAGCAGTTCTACTCCAACATTCAATAATTTCTATACTTTATTGTTTTTTTTTGACTGTTCAATTGGCTTTTCAGATGGCTTCAAGCTGGCAACGCTGGCCAAGAAAATAGCAATTGGTTGAAGAAGTGCTCTCCATCCAAATTGGATCGACCTTGGACATTCAATAATTTCAAAATTCTGGCATGCGATTGCTCTTTGTGCTTCTCAGATTGCTAACTTAGCGATAACTGCTCCTGCAAGTGAATCATAAGTACATAGGTATGCTTGGGTCTGTTGGTTGTATGCGCTATAAAAAATATACATATATTGCTTTATAAAAAGGCATGAGTGTCTGTGTGTGTGTGTGTGTGTGTTTGTGTATGTGCGTGTGTTTCATGTACCAGCGAGAGAGACTCGGTGTGAGATAGAGCCAGAGAGCTAGGCAGATGTAGGCATATGGCAGGCATATATAAAGTCTTCACAAAGACGTCAGTTGCTTCTCACTAATATTTTGTTATTCTTTGCTTAAATTTTATTGTATAAAAAAATATGCTTACGGTGCCTGTGTCTCTTTTTGGTGTTTAGTAAAGTTGTTCATTCATTTTTCTTTTCATTTTATTTTATTTTTATTATTTTTTTAGTTAATTACTTATTATCTTTTTGTTTTAGCTGGCCTGTGTATAAATATAAATACATGTTTCTTATTGTGTTTTTACTTTAATATTTATACAAGCTTAAATTGTTGCGCTATTTCTTGTTTGCTTTAAGTTAACTCAACTGATTGCGGCTGTTGCGTGGTTGGCTTACATGAGTGTGTATGCATGTATTTGTGTGTGTGTATGTGTGTGTGTGTGTTGGCCAATGGATGTGTCTAGCTATGGGCATGTATGTAATTTGTAAAAAGCAGCTTGGCATGTAGCTTCCTAGTATGATGAATTATTTTTTATGGCTATCATATATTTTAAATAATTATTATTTAGTTTATTTTTTCAGTCTATTTTTGTTTTTT